ATATATAATTTTTATAGTTTTAAAATGTTAATTTATTAATAATACTGTTTTGAGTCAACTTGAGTCAAGTCAAGTTTGAGTTGAGTTTAAATTAAGTTGAGTTAAATATTTAATTCGACTTGAATTTGATTTGACTCACAAATCATTGAGTCAAAAAAATATAAACTCAACTTGATTTAAATTTGACTCGACTTATCTGACTCATAAGTTAATTTAACTCATCTAAAACTCTATATATATTATTGATTAAGAAATAAAATTAAATTCTAATAGGTTATATTTTATCTTAATATTTAATTTAAATATATATTATATTTATATTTATTCTATTATCAAAAATTTAAATGCTAAATTTTTGCAAACTTTTATATTATTTAAATTTTCAATTTAATATTATTATTAATTTTTATTAATTTATTAATTTTTTTCAATTTTAACCAGTTTTTTTAATAATAAGTCTAATTCAGAATCATTGAATCTAAAAAAATTTGTATTTCACATTTTATTTTAATTTTATTTTTAAAAATTAAGAATTTTATATTCCATTTTAATTATTTTTCAAAACTTAAGATTTCTATATTTGATTTTAATTCTGTTTTCTATATATACATTTTTGAAAAATTATTTATTGATTATTTAATTAATTACTATTCTTATATAATTTATTAAATACTTATAGACTTTAAAATAAAATCATAGAAAAATAATAAAGATACTCTAAAATGCTATTTTTTATCAGATAGCAATCAGTAGGATATTATTATAATTAAATGTAATTTTAGCTAAAATCTTTATAATTTCATATAAAACTTGCTTTTAATATTTGTAATTAGTTTTTGAAGATTATTTGTCAGACTGGTATGATGTCAGAATGTTAAATTATCAGATTATCAGAATATTATATTATCAAAGTGCTAATATAACAAATTATTTAAGAAATCAGGTTGGCCTAATTAATATTTTTTATATATACGAGTTGAAAATCTTTAAATAACTCAATATTTATACTCATTCTTATTATATTTTTTCTTTAATTATATTTCTCTTAAAATTTTTTTACACCTTTACAATATTTTTACTTTCGTTATTTTAACTTTTTAATTTCATATATATAACTTTATTTATTATTATTTTTAATTTTTGATTTTTAATTTAATTAGATTTTTTATTATATAATATTTATATAATTATTTTATATTTATGTAATTTTAATTAAATAGAATTTAGTATTTGGTATTTACATAGCTTAAAATATTAATCAAATAAAAATATAGAATGTTAATATTGTGATAATACTGATTGTTTTGATAATATTAAATAAATATTTTATTATTATTACTTTATTTTTATTCAATCAAAACCTTCTGCTTATATTACAAATTATTTATAAATATATAAATGAAAGCATTGTATATAACAATATTTTTAATATTATTTTTTCAAACTTATACTTAAAAAATTTATATAATAAGGGAAAAAAGTCATGTGCATAGTGTAATATTAATTTATTATTTTTTGCGAAATTAATTGAATATTAAAAGTAAATACAATCCCTTAATAAGAAAGTAAAAACTATTTTTGTTAAGACAATTGTTTAAGAAAAATATAATATATTTTAATGTTTATACTATATATATAACTAATATGTCAAAAAATAGTTCTTTAAGTATTATAAATAAAAATATCAGTCATTACTATTTTAAATTTTTTATTTGAATAATATAATACTTTAATTACTACTGAATATTTAATAATTTTTTTAATATATATGTATATTAATATTATTTTAAGAAAAGAAATTAAATAAAAAGGTTTTAAATAGTCTACTATTTAGCTATTAAATTTTTAATTTTTTAATTTTTATGGGTGATGATAAAATTCATCTAATTATTTCTTATAGTTTATAAAAGTCAAATAAAATCTTATAAATTTTATATGTATCAGAATTATAAGAGTGTAAAAACTTGGTAACATATTATAAAATAGGATAATTTTATTTAAATATTAGTATTAAAAATTTTTTAATAATATCATATAGTTGTAGAAAGATTTTTTTTTAGTTTTAAAATTAATGTACTTATAAAGTAATATTTATAATTTTTTTAAAATAATTTTAAACTATATAGTTAAACATTAAATTAATAAAGATAATAGCAAAATTAAATTGCAAAAGCCAATTAGCATTGATTTAGATGATGTCACTACTGTGCCACACAGTGATCAGCAGTAATTTCTATTTCTTTTGTTACGTCTGTTCACCAGGTTTTATTTTTAGCAAATTTTTTATACGAGATTTTTTTTTTTGCGGATGTAAAGGGATGAATGTTTCAATTTATTTCATTTACAAAGCGATTTTAGTACTATTTTCATTTATTGTAAATTAGCCTAACCATTTTTAAAATTACTTTGTTGTAATTTAGCGAAGATTAATTATCATCTAATTAATTTGCTTTATAGTTTTTATATAAAGTTTTTATAAAACTATATTTTTATTAATTCATTATATTTAAAAATTTCTATATTTTTTACAGTCCGCGCCGAAAGTAATGGCGGTGGAGATGTCACATTTTTATTTGACCGTTGCCAAATTCTTGACAATCATCTCTATAATAATGCAAATGAATTATTGGTCATCGCTGGATTTTTCAGCAAGATAATGACCCAAAACACAAGTCCCATGATGTTCAAAGAGACTTGGAAACTCACCTTCCAGGTCGGGTTCTTCCATGGCCTTCGTATAGTCCGGATCTTAATCCGATTGAAAATGTCTGGACTATTTTAAAGAAAAATATTGAGAAAAGATTAAGAAAATGGTGGCGCAGAAGAAAAAAATTTCAATTGAAATTTTGAATGTGTGACAGGTTATGGCGAGATATGGCACAGCTGTCAATCAAAATGACTGTCCAACAGTCAAAATAAATTTGACACAATGCGATTTAACTAGTCGTGAAAGCAAGGTTAAAAATAGAATTTCAGATTTATCAGAAATTTTGCCGTGAACGTATGATATATGGCTATATTGCACTTGGTAGATAATCTAATTTTTGTAATAATATTTACTCTTTCTGAATTATATTTATTCATTGCTTTTTATTTTTAGGTTATGTCGCTGAAAATAATTCTTTTTATGCATCATTACGAGCAGAATCCACTGAGCAAAATCAAGAACTTTAATTCCTAATGGCTTTTTTACTAATAATAATACTGAGTGGAATAATACCGAGTGGAGGTTTGTAACTTAGATATGTGAATTTAAATGATTTTGTAATTCATTACTAAATACATTTAATTGTATGATTTTTTATTATAGAGAGCCAGATGAAGAAAATAAAGAGAATGAAGGTATTGATAAATTTGCATTTAATTATATCTTAAAGCAGATTATCAAAATAGTGGTTCATAATTACGCACTGCACTAGATAAGTTTGCAGAGCATTATAATGCTGCTAAATCTAAATTTATACCAAGGTTGTGCTCTTTTCTTTATGATCTTAATCGTGATTTAGATCCAATAGCTCGTGTTAAGAGTGGATCCATGATTCGTGTTCAAGTTGAATCAATTAAAAGACGAAAATCAGAGACATCTGGTGGTGGAAAGCGAAAACTACCTGCTACTATCAGTAAAGGAAAGGAAATTTTGGAACCTCAGGTCAAGTAAAAAGGATCATCATTTAAGTAAAAATATATTGAAAATTAACTGAATAGATAACATTATTTAGCGTAACATATAACATTTTTATTTGCTAAAATATTACTTCGTTACTAGTTTACAATGAAAAAGAAACTTTTATATTTTGCAATATTGATTAATTTCAATAAAATTATGACAAGTTTTCTATTTTTTAAATTATAAACAAAAATTATATTAAGAACAAGAAGAAATCAAAAAATTAACTATTAAAAACGAAGAAAAAGCGAAAAAACTATTAAAAAAAAAAAAAATTATTAGAAACGAAAAAAAATTAATCAATTAACTATTCCAGTTAGTTCCATCACATACTTTAAGCAATATATTCGGCATAACCTGTCAAACATTCAAGATATGCATTCAAGCCTAGGTAGGAAACGGGGATCTTAATCTAGCAATTGCCAAAGCCAATCAGCATCGACTCAATTATTGAGCGGGACTAACAATGATACGAATCAAAAAACGGGTGAAATTTTGAAAAAAGTTTTTTCCTGACGTGATGATATGGACTGTGAACCCATTATGGTTTATTATGGTTTATATTGTAAAAGAGCAACATTGAAAGTTTGCTTTTAAATAAATTTTTTTCGATTTCTATATGAATCGAACACGAAATTTTCTTAGTGATAATTTCTCGTGTGAAAATCTTCACCTCAAGATCATACCTTTTAAGAAAAGGAAAAAAAATTCGGCAATTAATACGTTTGCAATTCAATAATTACAGAGAATATTTAAAAGATTATATTACTTTATAAAATAACTAAGTTTTTTTTTCCATCAGATAATTCCACATAATTTATTTGCTTTGCAGTTGATCGACGAGGACGTTTTTTAGGTCTCTCTGAGACCTCTTCAGACTCCACATACTCATCGTCGTCAACAATAACGGGCGTAGATATAACATTCTTTTTCACATGATTTTTCACCTTATTGTTTTTCCTTTACCTCGTTTCTTCCTTTTATCAAGGTTCTCATTATCATTTTGAATTAATGAGGCACCTTTACTTCTTCAATATCTTCGCAAAGTTCTTCATTATCAAACGATTCATCAATTGACAATGATCTTCTCTTTTCTCTCGCGTCATCAACCGATTCAATGAGTAATGGTCGTTTCTTTCCCACTTTGTCGTCAGATGATTCATCAATAGATAATGATCGTTTCTTTGATTTCGGCGAAATTGCAATAGTTTCAGCAGGTTTCACTTGGACTTCCATTGTTATAAATTGTTTTTGGCTTAGAATATTCTGTAATTTATTTAATAGCAATAAAAAAAAAAATTATTATTTTATTATTATGAATATTTACTATTTTAAGATAAATAAATAAGTATGTATATATATAAATTCACAACTTACATCCCAAGATTCAATAAAACAATCTAAATCTTCTATCCACATCTGTTGAGGTGTTTTCCTTCTAAGATCTCTAAGTTCTTTTTCTTTCACGGCTTTCACCTTCAAGATTTTTTGCTCCTAATACGAACAAAAACATACGATCATCAAGATATTCTTAATTCACAGTATTTTGATATCAGAAAACTTACGTTTTCTTTACCAAATTTCCACACTGAAAAATCCATCATATAATCATATCCATGATTATAATGAAAAACGTCAAAGTCAATATCAGTTGCATCCTTATCGTCATTATCGTCTTTATCGTTATCTTTATCGTCCGTAAATCTTTCAAAACATTGGACTCTAATAATTCAATAGCCTCAATACGCGAAAGGCCTTCAAATTTAAGACTATTATCAGCCCTCATTTTA